GTCCAGCCCGGGCCGGGGCCACAAAGTGTTTGTGGTGACCCGGGTGGAGAGTCCACCCGAGAGGGCAGAGCCTCCTGTGCCACCCACCTCTCCTTCCCCACCTGCCCCTCCTCGTCCTCCATCCCCACCTGCCGTATCCTTCCTGCCCACCTCACCTGCCCGGACGCCAGCTGAGGCCGTCAGCACTAGGGACCCAGGGTCGTCTGAGCCTCAGCCTCAGCCGGAGCCGCCCCAATCAGGGCCACCGCTGCCCAACGGCCTGAAGCCCGAGTTCGCTCTCGCACTGCCCCCGGAGCCGCCCCCAGGGCCCGAGGCCAAGGTGGGCAGCTGTGGCCTGGAACACGGTGAGAGGACCTCTGGGGCCAGGTGACTGGGGCCCCTGTGTGCTGTGTGTGACCCCGGCCAAGCACCTGCTTGTTGGTGTGCCTCGGTCTCCCCCTCTTTAAAATGGCCCTTGAAGGGGCAGGGACAAGTGGGGCTTGGTCCTCAGTCCCCGCCTTACTTCCCTCGGATCCCGGGAGCTCCTCGGGGGCGGGGCACGCAAGTTGGGTTGACTCTGAGTCTGACGGTCTCATTGGTACCTGGGCCTGTGCTCCCCTGCGGCTCTGGCTCAGGCAGGGCTGGTGCCCCCCAGCCCAGCCGCCTGACTGGAGGCCGCCCACCCTTCTCGCGCAGAGCTGAGCTGCTCCAAGAACGAGAAGGAGCTCGAGGACCTGCTTCTGGAAGCCAGTCAGGAATCTGGGCAGGAGACACTGTGACACCTGAGGTGCGGTGAGGGCCTGGGGCCCCGGGAGCTGGGGAGCCAGCGACGGAGCTCCTGGCTCTGACAGGTGCCCCCCTGCGATCTCTTCTCCCTAAGTTCCCTTCTTCCGGTCCGTCTTTGAAGAGCCTGAGGCCAGAGCCATGAGAATCTGCTCACCCTCACCCCCAGCCTTCCTGAGGCCTGGGACCCCAGGGGGTGGGGGGCCTTCCTGGGGACCCCTGCCCCCCACAGCAACACTACACGGGGTGCAGGAGCTACAGGGAGTGGCCCTCCCCGCCCTGACTTAAGCACTTCTATTTATGTGTCTAACACTCGAAGACTGGGCTGGGGGTGGATGGGAGGAGGACGGGGGGGAGGAGTGGATACCGGCCACAGGGCCGGGCACCTTTCCCCAGGGCTCCGTTTGGCCAGGCTTGCCCCCTTCGCGGTCAGGAGTCCTAGGTGGTGGCGGGATGATCCCCTGGTGGCCCCGGGCACAGGACCAGGCAGGAGGCATGGCTTGGGCGGGGCGGTGAGTGCTGGTGGCGGTTGGAGTTTGTAGAGCAGCCCCGGCAGGGTGTGGGCCTGGGCTGGGGTGGGTGGGGGAGATCAGAGCGTCAGAGCTTTCTTTTTCTTAAGTGCAATAAATCTATCAGGGAGCTGGGGTGGGGAGCAGCCAGGGCTTGGAGACCCTGCTGTCCGGGCCACTCGAGGCTGCGCCCTGAGAGGCACTACAGCCCAGGGTGGGGGAGGCGTGGGTGTGGGGTGGGGGGCGGTGGGGGGAGGGCTGCTCCTGTCGGTGCAGGTCTGCTCACACCTTTTCTAATAAACCAGAGCTGGGTTACCCACTGGCCTGCTCTCTGCTTGTGCTGATCCTGGGCTCCCCGCTGCGGGGGTTCTGGCACAGAGACGGGGAGGGCAGGGGCCAGGCGGGTCGTGGCTGCAGAACATCTGCTGGGGCGTGTGTGGATGGGCCCCACAGGAGAGGCGGGACAGGCAGGCCCCTTCTTGGCGCGCGCACCCACACTCCTGTGTCTGACACAGCTGGCCATCTCGTGTATGATCCCACTTCCACTTCCCTCTCTTCAGAGGAAACAGCCCCCAAATACCTTCCAGCTTCCGGTCCAGCTTCTCAGGGTGGTGGACCTGGCATGCGGGTCCAGAGGTCATTCCTCTGCCCGGTCACCTGTGGCCCAAGGAGAACAGACACCAGCCTGTGGCCGGCAGCCCTAGATGTTCAGGCAGGAGGGCACTCTGCCCCGGAGCCTGGCCGGTCGCCTGCAGGCGCCGAGGTGTGCCCAGAGGGCTCTTGGGCATTTCTGGGAAATGAGTTTCATCCTTCAGAAAAGGCGAGAACCACTTAAGGGGAAGGCCTTTGTGCCCACTCCTCTCCTGCATGGGAGGCCGGCCCGGGGTGGGTAGAGACGTGGTGGAAAGGTTATGAGAATCACAGCGTTGCTGATTGGGAGCCCGTTTGGTTCCAGCACAAACCTGGGAGGCTTCTGCCGCAGCTGCCTGGGTGTCTGGGATGAACACCTTTCCTGTTTAGGCCACTTTCTGTTTGCCCTTCAGTTACCGACAGCTCCGGTGTCCTGACCGCTCCTTAAGGCAGCCACATTTGGGGCTCCCTCTCATCTGGGCGAGGGGCTGGGGGAAGCCACGCATGTCAGCCAGTGGCACCCGCCCCGCTGGCAGCCGGGGACACACCCGCACAGTGTCATCCTCCGGCTGGCGCAGCTGTGCCCAGGTGTGAGGTGGGTGTGGAATGAGCCCCTCCAGGGTGCCCTGCCTCCTGCCCGTCTTCTTGGGGAGACTGGGGAGTGCGAGGTTTGCTTCAAGATGCTGAGAAACCGCAGTCCTTTGCCAGGTTGGGGTCTGTCAGTACAGTCCCCTAAGAATCTCAGTAGGCCTTTGGTCACATCTAGCCATTGCTCAGGAATCCACCCAGGTGGGGGCTCTTGGCCCTTACAGCGGTGTTGGGTGCTCGCCCATCCCCTTTGCTCTCTGCCTCCACCTGCAGGCCAGGTGATCAACAGATGGCTGAAGGGAGGGGCGGGGAGGGTGCCTCCCCATCCTGTGGTGCCTGGGAGGGCCTGGGGTCCTGTTCCCAGCCTTGTCCCCGCCCTTCACTTTAGCTTGTGGTGAGGAATTCGGCCTTTTCCACTGTCCGTCCAGGGTTGAATTGTGCCCACCTCCCCACCCCCACAAGATACGTGAAGTCCTGATCCCCAGTACTGCAGGATGGGACTTTTCTTTGGAAATAGTGTCTTTATCGAGGTAATCGAGTTAAAAGTGAGGTTATAGAGCGCCCCAATCCAATATGCAAAGGGGAAATTTGGAGACAGTGACAGAACAGACATGCTCAAAGGAAGGATGTGAGAACACAGGAGACCTTGTGAGGATGGAGGGCTTATGATGCAACCCCAGGCCAAGGACGCCAAAGACGCCAGCAAAGCACCAGAAGCTGGAAGAGGCAAGAAAGCGTTCCCTTATAGGTTTCCGCGGGCGTGTGGCCCCCACAACTCCTTGATTTTGGACTTCTGACTTCCAGAGCTGTGAGAAAATAAATTTCTGTTGTTCCAAGCTACCCAGTTTGTGGAACTTTGTTACAGCAGCCCCAGGAGACTAATAGACCAATTCTGCAATGCTCTGATTTTCCGACCTTTTAGGGGTCTTGGATCACAGAGTTAGATCCCTTTGGCCGAGTATTTTCTTACCTTTGCCTTCAGCCATCCAAGTATCGCCCAAACTAGACGCTGTACCACATCTTAGATCTCGATGCCCTAACGTGGGAGATGTTTGTTTTCCTGCATGTGGGTGTTCTGGGTGACAGGCACCTTCTCTCCACGAAGTGACTCCTGAAGCCAGGCCCCCGCGCCCTCTGGTGGCTCTGACATCTCCTAGGGCCTCAGGGGACCCTGCATCCAGCAGGCAGGTGGGGGAGAGTGGAGAAGGCAGACCTGCCTCTTAACTCGTTGCTGCGATGGGAAAGGGACACACGTCACTGCCACTCCCTTCTAGGTGCAAGTCCCCAGCAAAAGCCCCATACTATAGGGGCCCATGAATGCCGGGAGACAGGGAGCCATCTTGGCCACACCCAGCCCCTCTGACATACTGTTTTGTTTTTTTTGTTTCTTTGTCTCCCAAAGCTCTAGCTTTGGCAGGCATATGGTCAGAGTCTAAGATAAATCGGGCACCAGTTTGACCACTGCTCGGCATCATGTAACGGGGCGCAGCTTCCTTCTGGGGCCCGGGGGTGTCCTCAGTCCTGCTCCTGACCTCCAGCCAAATCTAAGGGTTAGTCGTGCCTCCCCAGCAGCCCACACTGCTGGGGCCAGTTTGTTTCCAGCCTGGACTCTGGGTGGTAAGAAACGGAAGCCCAAGTCAAGTTGGCTGAGGGAGCTGCGGGAAGCGATGTACGTTGTCTCCAGTAGCACGTCTACAGAGACGTCGGTCTAACAGCGTCATGAGGACCCGTGCATCTCTGTGGTGGCTTCATTCTTGGGCAGGCTCTCCCTCTGCTGTTGGAAAACATCTCTCAGCACGCCCAGGGTGGTGCCACTGGCTCAGCCATGCCAGGACTGCCAGGGCTTCATATGCTCCTCAACTTCCCTGTCCTCATCGAGGGGCTCCTTGGGTGGCCCTGGAGTGACCCGTAAGGCAGGTACCCCCTGGACAATTACTCGTCTGGTGGAGGCGGCGCTGCCGGCCCCAGCTGACCGGGGTGCTGTCGAGGCCTAATTAACCCATTATGCCAGGGGAGGAACCACCCCAAGAGTGGAGCAGCCTGCTGAGGTCACTGGGGACACCACCCTCGGAAATGCCAGCTCCTGCCCCACCCACAGAGGGGCAAGCTCAGATGTGGGGACAAGGACCTGGATCCCCTGAGGCCTGGGTGCGCTCCACTGAGTCAGCTGGGCGCATCCCTCTGTCCATCTTCCCTGCCTCCGCAGCGTCACCCGCTTTCCCCACAGCCACTCCCGCCTCTGGGATGCCAGGGAGCAGGCTGCCAGCTGAGGCTGCCCGACTCCCTGGGGATGAAGTGGGCTTGGCAGAAAAGGGCAGGCCTGGTGGCCAGTCCTCACTGAGCTGGGGAGACTGGGGCATGAAGACCAATCTGGGGTTTTCACATCTTCATTTATTGCACTTGAACCCCGAGTTCCTCATGGGTCCTTCTGCCCGGGCTCTCAGATGCTGTCACTGATACACTGCCCCACTCCTGGTGGCTACTGCCAACAGCTCTCTCTGGCTCACAGATTCACCTGGGGAATGTGGCCACCACAGGCCTCATTCCGGACACTGGACCCTGGGACTTGGGCCCAGTTAGGCCCCCTACACTCTCATCTGGGCAGAAGGAAGTGTTGCCCTCTGCTGCGCCCAAGGTCTTCCATTCAAGGCCCACCTGGGCTAGACTGACCCCAAGTGAAGGGCACTCAGGCCATGGGTCTGGACTTGCCCCCGTCCTGGGGTTGGTGGGCTTCGCAGTCCCGTGCGAGGCCCAGGCCGCCCCGGGGGCGTGGTTGGCTCCGCGTGCGGCGTGCGGGGCTTTGCGGGCAGGGGACTTGGGCGGGCGGGGCGTCTTGAGCGTGCTGACGGCCCGGATGAGGCCCATGCGGCGGCGTATGGAGTGGTCCAGGTTAACGGTGCAGCGCAGGAGGCTCTGCGCCTCGGCCACGGTGAAGGGGAAGTCAGCGGCCAGGAAGCGCCGGAAAAGCTCGGGGTCGCCGTCCAGGGCGAACACGTTCTGCAGCGTCGCGGTCATGGTGTGCAGCTCGAAGCTGTGGTCGCAGAACACGTCCCAGAGGGGCGCGCAGGCTTTGGGCGCGCTCCCGGCCTGCTGCTGGTCCTCCAGGCACTGCAGGGCCCAGCTGAGACGGCACGGCCACTGGTTGGCGAGCACGACCCAAGCCACGGCCTGGCGCGGCGAGAGGCCCCCAAAGGCCCCCTGCTGCTGTTGCAGCAGGCGCACGGTGATGGGCACGGTGTTGACGATGCGCCGCATGGACACCACGTTGTCGGGCACGTAATCGATGAGGCAGTCGCACTCGTCGTGCAAGCAGCAGAGCGCCTCCTGGATGCTGCGCGTCGCCTGGACTTCCAGTAGGCTTTGCACGTTCTCGGCCCGGGCCGGCCCCTCCATCTCCAGGAGCGGCGCGACGTCTCCGCCCCCCGGCCCCGCCCCCGGCCCCGGCCCGCCCCCGGCCCCGCCCCGCGACCTCACGTTTAGCGTCATCCGGCGACAGAGCAGGTCGTCGCGGCTTCGCACCACATCGCGCAGGAACTGCAGTTTGGTGCGGCGGCCCATGATGGGCACGGAGAAGGGTAGCGTGACGGTGCGGTTGAGGAAGAGGTAACCGTTGTCGGCCGTGCCCTTCATGGAGCCGGCGTTCTCGAGGCACGCGGCCAGGATGCTGGGGTCCACCACCAGGATGAAGATGAAGGGCGCGTGGCAGTCGGACAGCAGCGTGTTGATGGCGTTGAGCACGCCGACCACGCGCTCCGGGTAGCACGTGTCCAGCCCTGTGATCTCGAGCACGACGCGCAGCCGGCGCCGCTGGTAGATCTCCAGGAAGCACAGGAAGTCGGTGAGCAGCCCCACCTCCTTCTTTACCTCGCACATGAAGCCCAGATGGCTGCTGAACTTCTCGTGCGACACCAGCCGCTCAATTCTCTTGCGCTGGCTCACGAACAGGTGCTTGCCCACCGAGTACATGGCCATGGGGGGGCGGCCCATGATGGGCACGGAGAAGGGTAGCGTGACGGTGCGGTTGAGGAAGAGGTAACCGTTGTCGGCCGTGCCCTTCATGGAGCCGGCGTTCTCGAGGCACGCGGCCAGGATGCTGGGGTCCACCACCAGGATGAAGATGAAGGGCGCGTGGCAGTCGGACAGCAGCGTGTTGATGGCGTTGAGCACGCCGACCACGCGCTCCGGGTAGCACGTGTCCAGCCCTGTGATCTCGAGCACGACGCGCAGCCGGCGCCGCTGGTAGATCTCCAGGAAGCACAGGAAGTCGGTGAGCAGCCCCACCTCCTTCTTTACCTCGCACATGAAGCCCAGATGGCTGCTGAACTTCTCGTGCGACACCAGCCGCTCAATTCTCTTGCGCTGGCTCACGAACAGGTGCTTGCCCACCGAGTACATGGCCATGAGCAGCCCGGAGCCCGAAAGCGTGGTGGCCGCGCCGCCGAATGCCCGGAACAGGTTGCTGTGGCCCAGTATGTGGGAGCCCATCGACAGGTAGAGCAGGCTCATGCCCAGGCTGAGCGCCGCCAGCAGCGCCAGCAGTGCCAGGCACACTTGGCGCCGGCAGTGCCACTCGCGCTGGCGGCAGCCCGGCCTCGTGGCCACCTTCTTGCCCAGCACCGAGTACAAGCTGAAGGGCAGTGCGCCGTATTGTTGGCGGATGCCGTCGCACAGCGCTGTCACCAGGCCGGCCCACAGCTTGTCACTGCCCGCATAATGCCAGGCGCTGAAGCGGATGAAGAGGAACTTGACGTTCTTGCGCTGCAGATGCAACTCGGTGATGACGGGCTGCAGGAACACCAGGTACCACAGCAGCTTCGAGAAGCCCCAGCCCCGTATGGGCCTCAGCTGCCGCTGCACGTGCTGCAGCTCCTCGGCCTCCCTCTGGGTCGCCTCCTGCTGCATCAGCGCTGCCGGGACCGAGGGCGCAGGGGAAGGTGTGAGCGTCTAGACCCGGCTTAGGCCAGGCCAGGGCCTGGATGTTAGACGGGGAGCCAGGGCCGGTCTCCAAGTGCTGGGCAGGTGCAGAAGTGCGGAAGGAGAGGCCTGGAGCCAGGCTTGAACAGGAAGGGGTCTGAGGGGGAATTGCGGGGGGTCAGGGGAGGGCAGAAGTAGAGCCCCCAGAGGAGAGAGGACTGGTGGGGGCAGGGAGGGCTCTAAGAAATGAAAGAATGCATGCCAGGTGCTGAGGAAGAGAAATGCTGGGCAGCAAGTGTACACCCCTGGTCCAGTTTTCCTGGCTTACTGCCTCTCCTCCAGCTCTCAGCTCAGCTATCACTTCTTCCAGGAAGCCTTCCCTGATCCCCAAGCTGGGTCAGGTGACCCTGGGCTCCCCCACTGCAGTCCTGCCCTCTCTGGGTCATCCCTGTCTGGGGACAGGTCTGTCTCTCACGCTGGTCTGTGAGCCCAGGAAGGGAAGGGCCCTGGTTGTTTTGGCCACCCTGTGTCCCTTGGGTGCTGAGGAAGTGCTGGGGGGAATGTCTGGAGGATGGATCATGAGAGATTGGGGGCATGATCTCTCTGCTGTGAGAGTAGGGAGTGAGCCAGTGGGAATGAGTCGGAGTCACTCAGCGCAGAATAGAAGCTGTTTCCTTTTACCTTAGAGCCGAATCTTTTCTCCTTCCAGGACCTTGTTTGTTGCTCTGTGACAACACAGGAGCAGGACGTGGGCTTGTTTGATAGGTGCTTACCAGGGCTGGGCACACGGAGGTGAGTCACCTCCGGCTTCTCTGGCCATGATTGGGGCTGGGGTCTGAGCTCCAGCAGCGTTTGAACCAGGCTAAGTTTCAGCTCATGTCTTTAATTAACATTATCTGTCAGGGGTCTTGTGGGCGCTGGGCCCTCGGCCAGGGCTGAGGAGAAGAGATAGGTCCGAGGAGCACAGAGGCCTGGAGGGACTTGGCAGGAACCAAGCGAGGAACCTGGGCTTTCTCCCTAGGGTGCTGGGAGCCATGGAAGGCTTTTGAGCAGCGGAAGGACAGGGCTAGATGTGTATTTTAGAAAGACTCCTTGCAGTGGATTTGGCGGGGGAGGGGGGCAAAGGCGTAGGGAGGGACCTGGTTAATGCTGATTTATGGGCATGTGGCAGACTGGCCTCGGGGGTGAGCAGGTCGTAGGGAAGCCTGGGGCTGGGCAGGGACCAAATGTCCCGTCTCCCTTCAGCCCTCCTTGCCCGACACACGCGGATCCTCACCCATGATCTTGTCTAGCATCATGTGGAGGCGGCAGCCAAAGGGCGCATAGAAGCCCACGGTCACAGGGACAGGCACATGGCACAGGGTCTTGGCAAGGCAGCTGCAGTAGACGTCATCCTCCGTCAGGATATCTGGGGCCCGGGGGTAGGGAGGGGCTGGAGGTGGGGAAACGGAGTCAATGACGCTGGCCAGGCACCACCCTGCTCCCCGTCTACCCTCCGGAGTGCTCGGCACCGGCACCCCTTCTCCCTGACTCCCAGCCATGACTCAGGTCAAACCCTCTGACAAAGGGTTTCTGTGGCCGCAGGCAGCCCCCTCCTTCAGGACCAGATGTGCCCTTCTGGGCCCCGGATCCACCAGGCAAAGGCCAGGAGGCTAGACCCACCCCGGCCCTGGCCCAGAGGTGTGTGGGAACTTGGCTGCCCTGGCCCCAGGTCACCAGGATCACGGTTCCCCGGGGAAAATCCCACAGGCTTTTCTTGAGACTCCCGGGCCCTCAGATACCTAAGATACCGCTTTACACGCTCCAAAGTTCCGCCGAGTCTGTTCCTTTCTGCTCTACGAGCCTGACTTGAGCGTGGGCAGGCTCCTCTGCTGCCTGTCCACCCCTGTGCCCACAAGTCACTAGTTCCGCCCTGAGCCCCAGGCAGACGCGTCTTCTGGTCCTGGCCCCGTCACCTTTCCCCGCATGACCCGGGCAGAGTGATGCCTCTGGGAGGCATCTTGGACCTGGAGTCAGGGCACCAGAAAGGTAGGGCTCAGTTGGCCGCAGGGCAGGCGGGGAGGCCAGGCCAGCCTCACGGTGTGTGGTGGGGATGACACGCCCGCTTTCATAGAGGCCTCGTGGGCTGCAGCATCCATCCCTCGCTGGGGGCCAGCGCTGGGCCTGGAGGCACAGCTGGGAGGGCAAGAGGCAGACTCGGGCCAAGGTCAGCTGAGGTGGCAGCTGGGGAGGACCTCTGCCTGGTCAACGGCTGACCTCACCTCGCCGAGCCTCTACTAACTTGTGTGTGAGATGGGCATCGAGGCCCCGAGGCTAGAGCGACGGGGTAGTGCCTGACCTGGAGCCGAGTCCCCACTCAGCTGTGCTCTGCTTTCAAACCAGACCTGGAAATGGCCACCTCCCTGGTCAGGTTGCCGGCACCTCTCGCCGGGACTCCTGCTTCCCGCCCTTCCTCCTACAGTCAACTCTCAGGTCACATCCCGAGTCAGCTCTGGGCCATCATGACTCCCACCTCCCCAGGGGGAGAAGGCTGAGCCCTCACCGCGTCCACGAGGCCACCTTGCACCCTCTCGGACCCCGTCTGACCCTCGTCCTCACCTCCCCTGCTCCAGCCACATGGCCCTCCTTGTTGCCCCGTGAACGGGCCACCTCAGAGTCTGCGTTTGCCGATCCTGTTGCTGTTTACTCGAGAGAACTGCCCCATCTTTGCTTAAATGCAGACTTGATGGGGCCTCGCCTGACGACCTTGTTTAATTTGCAAACCCCATTTCCTCTCCCTGCTTTATTCTCCCCCCCTAACATGGTTATCACCCGGTGACACACTTCTGAACTTCCCTGTTTATCTTGTTTCCTGTACCCGCCTCCCCCCACCGCCTATAGAATGTGAGCTCCATGAGGGCAGAGATCTCTGCCCTGCTTCCTGTGACACCCCCAGAACAGAGCCTGGCGCCCCTGCAGGCGACCAGTACCTGGTCACAGAGTGAATGGATGAATGAATGAATGAATGAATGAGTGGGTGGGTGGGTCCCTCCCATGGCTGTGTTGCTCTCTCCGTCCCTTGGGCCACTCCCTACCTCTTGCTGCAGCTGCACTCCCCAACACCAGAACAAGCTGGTGCTCACCCCCCGCCACCCCAAGTCAGGAGGGCTGGGAAGACAGGAAGCAGAGCAAGGGTGTCACAAGCCGGGGCCCGGGCCCCTGGCCGGCCCGGGTTGGGGGCAGCATGGACAGGCCTGGCCTGGAAGCCTTGCATCCCAACGGGTGAAGGAGCAGCGGCCGCCCAGAGGCCCAGTGTCAGGGATGAGCACCCTCCCAGACAGGAAGCAGAGTGAGGGCTGAGGAGGGCAGGCCCCAGGCCTAGGTGGGAGGCAAAGTGGCAGGGCCAGAGCCCCAGCAAGGGGAGGCTGGGTGAGCTCCGGACCTGTAGCAGGTGAAGGAGCTACGGGTCACGGGGGCAGGCAGGTGCCAGGTGTCCGTGGGCCTCCTGGGCTCCAGGAGGGTGCTGGCTGCAGAGGGCAGGGCTGGGCCGCTGCTGGCTCTGGCGCGTGCCGCGGCAGGTGAGGGGGTGCGTGTGGGGGCCGGCTGGGGGGCGCTGGCCAGTTGCATGGGGGCGGTAGTGGTTGCGGGCAGCCCCTTCTGGGCGTCGTGAGCGGGGCAGAGCCGCTGCCACAGGGGGCTGGGAAGTGCGGGCTGGGATGGGGGGGGAGACGGGCTGGAGGCCCCGGCGACAGCCATCGCCACCCCATGGTGGCCTAGCATGCATGGGGGGTGGCGACAGGGCCTGTAGGCTTGAGGTGCCGCTGGGTCATGGTACCAAGGAAGTGGGGGGTGACTGGGCCTGGGTCCCTGACCCCTGAGGGGCACTGGCAGGAACCAGGTCAGGTCTTCAGGAGGAGGCTGGGGCTCGTCACTCAGCTGAGGCCCAGGAGAAGTCAGAGAGAAGACGGGGAGGGGCTGTGGGCCGAGGCGGGGCCATGCCCTGCGCTCTCCCACGGCTGGGGTGGGGGCTGGGAAGAGGTGCAGGGGCCTGGGCTTTAGCCAGGTGAGGAGCTAGAGCGGGGATGATGCCCCAGAGTTTCTGCTACCCCAAGTTCTTCGGTCCCTGGGGTGTCCCCAAGTGGGGGGGCGGGCGGAGAGGACTCCACTGGGAGCTGGCCTGGCTGGTCCACAGGAGGCCAGAGTGACGAAACGTGACTGTGGAGGGGGACAGGGTGGGAACTAGGAAGGGGGCTGCCCTGGGAGGCCCCGAGGAGGCTGGATCAGCCCTGACGGGAGTAGCTGCCCCCTCCTCGCCCAGAGCAGCAGCGCCTGTGGTCACCGTGGGCGGCTGGACCCCCCGCCTCGTTCATACGCACTCAGTGTGGGCTGTGGGCTTGCCCTCCGACCCCTCCCGCCCACCGCACTGCTCCCCCCAGGTTGTGGGGCAGTCCCCACAGGCCTGGCGATTTGGGGAGGGAATTCTGTCCACGCTGGGGGGAGGGGCAGGCCAGATGGCCCCCCACTGCTGGCATCCCCAGCCCAGGCTCCCACCTCCGGCCTCCCAGGGCCTACGGTCCCCACAGCCCCGTGTGCAGATGCCTCCATGGTGAGTGCTGGTGGCTTTTCCCTCCGGGGGCCTGGGGTTCTTCTGCTTGGCCATCCTCTCAGCAGCCCCCCACTCACAGGTCTCTCTTGCGACCAGGGCTGCCCAGACTGAACCCCTACCTTTTTGGTGCCCCAATTCCCTGTCCAAGTAGTAGCGCTTGGTGGGGGTCCGGTGGGGCAGGGCACCCTTGGTGAAGTGGATGGTGTAGTGCTGGTTCATGGCGGCGGGGGGCCTGCTGGGGGCGGGGACGAGAGGCGGGCTCAGTATCCAGCCCCCTCAGGCGCCAGCATCAAGAACCCACCCACGGGACGGCCCGAGACCTGTGATAGATGAGACCTCATCCCTGATGCTGGGGTCCTGGGCTACCCAGGTGGCATGGGGCTGCTCTTCAGAGTAACAGGGAGAGGTCAGGATGGGGGGACGGGACAGCCAGGCGCGGGAGGATGAGAACGCTTGGGGGGTGTTGGGGGGTAATTTGGGGTGGGTGAGATTTCCAAGGCCTGGGTGTTCAGGAGCTGCTGGGAGTTTCCAAGAGGGCTGGGACAGTGCGGGTGCTGAGTCGACGTGGGCTGGGAGCCACGGGATGGCTGAGTAAGATTGGGGGGAGCTAGGTACTGGGCGGGTGCGCTGTGGGCGGTGGAGGCTGGCCCCCTTTGAAGGGACTTGAAACCAGTGCAGTGAGAGGCGGGGAGCAGTGAGCCATGGAGCAGGCGAGCAGCTGAAATGTCAGGGCTGAGACATTTGGGACCTAATGAGGGGTTGGAGGGAGGGGGACTCTAGGGGAGCAGATGAAGTCGGTGTGGTCCAGTCTGGGAAGAGGCTGAGCAAACTGGGGATGAGGTGGGGGGCACTGGGTTTAAAATGTGAGGAGCGGAAGCGAGGGAAGGAGGCTGTTTAGAGGCAGGCACGGGAGAACCCGAGGGGCAGAGGAAACGGGGGTGAGAGCTGGAGTTGGTGAGGGTTGGGGGCCTGGCGCGTGGCCCCTGCCCACCTCATCCCCCCGGCCTGGGGTCCCCCATACCTGATGGCAGCCTTGCAGCCCCAGCTCCCTGCCCCGCCGCTGCCGCCAGCCGAGCTGCTGTGCCAGCCCCACCGTCTGGCAGCATCAGCGCAGGTCAGACTGGTGAGAGGCCCGGGAGCTGGGAGCCAGGAGCCAGGAGCCCAGTGGCCCGACCGGTTTGCCCACCTTGTCCCCGCCCCTTCCCAGCAAGCCTGCCCAGTCCCTGTCCCGTGTGCTCAGCTCTCAAGGATTGGGGGCTGCCGCCGCCCCCCACCCCACCGCGGTACTCCAGTAAGGGATGGAGATGGCAGGCCACGCTGCTGCCCGGGGCGGGACCCGCCAGAGGGTCTGCTGGTCTGGGCACTTATGCTGTGGGAGGGAAGGAAGCTAGGATACGGATTTGGAATCCAGGCCCAGAGAAGATGCAGCCCCAGGTTCAGGTGCCAGCTCCTCCAGGGCCCAGCTGTGTGAGCTTGGGCAGGTGACTTCACCTCTCTGAGCCTCGGCTTCCTCGTGGCTGAGCAGGCCGGTGTCCGTGCCTGCCTCTCATGGTTGTCAGGAGGAGTCCCCTGAGCCCAGAGCTTGGTGCTCAGCAACAGTGGTGCCAACTGGCCCATTTGCCAGGTGCTCCAGATGCTTCACGTAAAACGATGACGACACGCGCGTTCCAGGCTCACCAGGAGCCGTGCTCAGCGTACATGCTTCTCTTTTTTTGACTCCAACACGCAGATTGCGGGATCTTGGTTCCCCAACCAGGGATTAAACCCAGCCCCGGCAGCGAACGGGCGGAGTCCTAACCACTGGACCTCCAGGGAAGCCCCAACGTGCTTTTTTATCTCCAGTAACCTCTTTGCTCGTTGCCACGCTCCAGTGGGGTGGGGGTGATGCCCCCTTTACAGATGAGGAAACGGAGGCCCGGACTGCTGGAGTCCCTTGCCCCGGGTCTTAGGGAGGCAGAGCCAGGCTTTGCAGGCAGTGGTTTGTGCTGGGTAGGTGGAGGCGCCTTGCGGACGTTCTTCGAGAGGTGAGAGTGGGGTTGGGGGTGGGGATGGCTGGGCAGGAGGTGCCTTAGACACAGCGTGGCGGGG